ATGAGATGGTGATCAAGGTCAATCGGAAGATAATTCTACATTGGTGGATGACATATTGAAAAATAATATACAAGTAAGACAATGAAAAAAGCAGATATTTCTGCTGTTTACAAAGAATATGGAATATTCACAATAAAAATACAAGAAATGAAAGCAATGAATAGAACAGGTTGAACCATTAATCTCATTTAAATTGTCACCATATGGTTAAGAGACTTTACCTGCAAAGTGCTCAGGTTTGATTCCTTCACATCTGTATACTACCAAGATTGATTCAGAGAACCTTCTGGAAGGTCTATACAGGAAAAATCTCAGAGAAAGAATTTCCTGAGAAAACTGTACATCACATATTCTCTGTGTGAAGTCTGAAGTCATACTAATTCTATAATGCTAACTAAAAAGAGTAGATGATAGTTACCTATAACATGTATAACATGTAATCCTCGGATTCAACTTAAGTAAATTAGTTTATTTTAACATTATATATTTCTCCTAAGCCCATGAGAGCAGAGTTTAGGCTGGAAATAATAATAATCATGTGAGTTATAAAATTAGAAGACAGATGGGGTTATAGCATTAATGGAGTTTAAAAGTACCATCAGGCAAAGATTCAGACTTGGAAATGGATTACAAGAAAATGTCTGACTAAGTGATTAAAACCCAACATCCAATGAGACATGGGATTTCAGACTCTCCAGAGTCCTCTTGGCTCCTCCTAGAACATTTTTTTCTGCACACCCTATCAAAGTACAAAATATTTCTTAAGATTTCTATACTTCGTATCAGTGTTAAGTCTGGTTTCCAGGTTGGTCAAGAGACTTGTATAGCACTTACTAAGTTGTTCTCAGTCTAATTGGCTAAAATCATCCATGTGCTTTTTTTTCAGATACAAAAAGCTACTGAGGTTGTAAAAACCTGTACAGAAATGAAATGCATAAAAACTTTCTGTAACCCTGAGCAATCTTGACACCACATGAGGCACACTTGAGAAAGGGACTTCCTCTGGATTGTGAGAAGAAAGATTTAGAAACAAAGTGAAATGAAGATGGGAGTACCACGGCTCACAGAAGGGAGATCAAACACTCCACAGAAAATACATGTTACGGTGCAATTGCCCTCTGGGAGCTACAGGATTATGAAAGTCTAACTTAATTAACAAAGAAAATAGGTCACATTTAACAACCATATATGCAATACATCATTTTTGACTATATAGAATGTCTGAAGAAGAGAGAAACATTAAAAAATCAGAAATACAGGAAAGACAGCCACAGAATGCATCAATCTCTCTCCTCTTTCTAAATCAGTCACATGATTTGATTTTATATATATGAAAGATTTACCATTCTTCTAATTTCCATCTTAAATTTTTTTTGCACTATACTTGAAAAGAAATATGAGATGCTCAAAGAAAGAAAAACAAAATGACCAAATCTAAAATTAAAAAAAAAACTAAATTAAGAGGCAATACATATTTATCTCATAAAAATAAAGCTTTCAGTGTCTTCCCTTTTTCTTCCCATGTCATCATGTGACAGGTAATCAGGTACTTGTGAACCCTACATGAAATCTTCCCCCTTTAAGAGCTTGATGTCTCTGTGGGTTTGAGCTAATTAATTACAGGTACATTTCCTCTGCAAGGCAGTTACACTCTGTATTGTTGAAGGCACAATTAATAATTGAACAAAGCTAGCTGGATTTTTTTTTTCTCACATGGCCATGGATTGTAAGTAACTTTGTTGCCACACAGGGAACACAGCATATTCTTTGGGTGTCTCCAAGAAAGGTTTTTGCATGATAGGCTAAAGAAGATTATCCCATTTTCAAATTTTGAAAAAAGTAAAAGAAGAAACCCACAAAAAAAACAAAAGTGATAATAAAAATAAGAAATCCTAGTTTCCTTTATAGAACAGTAAAGGCAAATTCTCTTTTCTGTCACCAGGAATACGATTACGATCAGATAGGTAGTTATTTAGGTCAGATGTGAAAGAGATGAAAAGCAGGCTTGGAAATTAATACCCATTGTAAGGGAGAATTGGAGTTTGTCCTTGAGTCTGTGACTGCAGCAGGGAGCCAGTTTTGCATGTGCAAGAATAGAATTTGACCCACAGAGAGGGTCTAGATAGAGGATTATAGAAGAACACAGTTGTTTCCCTTGAGATGTCCGTAGGAACTTAATGGATGATCTCCGATGCCCTATGGGGTCAAAGATGAGTACAGAAAATCCTTGTCCTTTGCTCCAAGACTTAGTCTTGAACAGCAGTCTGTAAACTGTACTGTAAAAGGCCAGATAGAAAATATTTTAGGCTTTGAGGGCTAAGCCACCTTTGCTGCAACTATTCAACTCTACTGTTTTAGAGTAAAAGCAGTCAGATAATACATAAATGAACAAGCTTGGCTGTGTTTCAGTAAAACTTTATTTATGGGCACTGATATTTGAATATCATATATTTTTTGCATGACAAACATAGGGTTCTTCTTTAGATTTGTTTCCTACCATTTAAAAACCATTTTCAGACTGTCAGAAAGTGGAGCGGGCTGACTCTGGTCCAGAGACTGTAGTCTGCTGACCCCTGGCCTGCCTATTGGGAAACCCTATGAAGACACCTGTTTTTCTAGTTGATTTTGAGAGTTCCTTGAATGTATGTAAATGCTGCCTTTAATTTCAAATATCTGGCCTGATCTTTGGCCTTTGTTAACTTGAAACATCATGGATAACCAGATCAAATTTTCATTATCATTAATGAGTTTACTAGAGTTATCCATAAATATCTAAACTTGTACACCAAGCCTGAGAAGGCCTTAAAACTGGTTGTAGTTATTATTCTGAATTCAAGGAGTAAAAAGGAATATATTTTTAACTTCAGGTCACCAGTAGTATTTTTGCCTGAGGGAAAAAACATTTACTAAGCAATAGTGCACCAAAAGAAGTATAAAATATTTTTATTAATGCAGTTCATTCCTTCATTATAAATTGGATATAATCTATCTTCCTTCTTCTCTACGATTTTTAACAAAAAGTAAGATATTATAAATAGCATATTTCACATACACATTTAAGTTAATTATAGAAGGTGAGGCTAATTATATCTATAGAATAGATATAAAAATAGATTTTTATATCTATTTTTATAGATATAAAAATAATGGTAAGGAAACAAGAAGACTGCAAAGATTTGATGTCATAAAAATCTCTAAATTTTTCTTAAATTCCATGTTGTTGGCATGTAATTTATATATGATTTTCTATATTCTTTTAAATATGGGCCACAAATTTGGCTCTACATTTGGTATTATTCAATACAATGAAGAACTCATGACCATCTGTAAACATTCACTGGGTTCATTTGTAAGATAAACAAACAATTGCTTAGGAAAAAGGACAGGAGAAATAATAGAAAGAGGAATTTTCTCAAAGGGTCTTTAAAAAGGAAACTATGCAATAAAATTAACAATCTTTCAAAAACATTACAATAAATGCAATGATTTTAGAGAACTTTTATAACATCTTTAAATATGGGCCAATAGTTTTATACCAATTGTCATTCAGTAAAAGCAATTCTTATCGGGACAGGGGTAGGTGGTACGATATTGGGTTTAATATAATTCCATCCAAGTAGACTGTGTTCTGGTGGTTTAATTTAATCCAGTGAAAAAGTATCTGAGGTATATGATACCCAGAGGTTCACACTTCAGGTTATTTTCCATGAGTACTTTTTCCCATGTGAGGTATAAAATAGGTCTGAGAGGAAATGAGCTTGATCTCAGAAACAGTGCCTCATTTATTGTTTTTATGCCTTTTAAATAAATAAATGACAAGTTGCATGTATTAATAGCACGGATGGCCTTTGAGTAACATTTTCTCAAGAAAGCAGAAGGCTCTAATAAGAATAGCTGTTTAAATAAAAGACAGTTCCATAGATTGATCAAAACTTCACTTGATAAGTTAATTTGATGTCTATCAAAATGGAGGCCAATATTCCCACAACACAAAATAAATTTTTTGTTTAACAACACTGTAACCAAATACTACCCTGGTCTTTTGGAAAAATCTCAGGATAGCTTCTATTGTATGTCTAGCTTTGTACAACAAATATCAAGGTGCTCATTCTAAAATGAAAATTATAAATTAAATCTCTAGATACTTATATAAAGAAACTTTATATAATGTTTAAAGCAGATATAAGTCAGTTAAAAGTTGGGGACTATCTACTAAAAGAAATGATAATTTATAAGACTAACTGATCATACTTCCTCTTTCCAGAAAAATTAAACTGAAGGCTCCATTCTACAGACTGTGTATTTGTAAAGGCATGGCTTTTCATATAAGTAAACATGATTTGTAGAGTAGAGGGATATGAGTGCAGTTAATCCTTGATAATTTGGTAAGATATTTCAATGAAGTTAAAAAAGCAGCAGCGCCTCAGAACCCAGTTATGGTGATGGTGGTGGGAAAGAGCAGAAGACATACCTAGAAAAAGTTTTTCTGACTTGTACTAAATTAGCACCAGCAGATAGGGACCCATGATAAACTCCTGCACTTATGCCCCTCCACTGAGCCAGATTGACAAAGACAAGACATTATATGTCACAATTTTGTATTGTTCATGAAAAGTTTCTTTCATAAGGTGCTGAATGTTACTAAACTATAGTTCAAAGCAAAGCCAAATAAAAAATGCACAAAGTATATAAATTTAATCCATACAAAACATTGTCCCAAGAGAATCAAGTACCAAACTGGCATACATTTTAGACATAATATGAAGTCATTTAAGGCTTCTATATTTGTTGCCTTGGGAAATTGTTCTACTGTAAATAAAATTGTATACACACACATACATACACACACACACCATGGTCATAGACTTCATAGAGAAGGCCAAGGAAGACCCTAATTAACTTCCATGTCACAATTCTATTCATTTAAAATAACAGGATCCATGCTTGCCTTTAAGATCTTAAATAGTGTGTGGCATTTTGAAGACTGGAGTGTTGCTTACCAGTTGGTGTGAGGTGTCTCCAAGTGATAACAGGTTCAGGACGGCCATTGGCCATGCAGACCAGGGTCACGTTGCTGCCCTCATTCACAGTGACATCCGAGGAAATGTTGGAGATCTTTGGTGGCACTGTAAGGAGAAAAGCAAATCAAAAGTGTAACTATATCAATGAAAACAGTCTTGCAGCACTGGTCCATGCAACCAGAAGTGGCAAATGTGAGCTAAGTGCTCTTATAACTTAAAATCTCTGTGTCTTGGAGTTAAGAAGCCAGGGTACTTTAGGCCCTCCTTAGAGACTTAGTGAGCATATAAAAATCATGAGTCTAACTATAAGGTGAGACTCTTCTCACTATGGATAAGTGCTATAGGAAGTACACAGAGTAGTATAATAAAAATGTGTAAGCTCCTTTCTTATTAGAATGACCTTTTTTGATATTACATATCATGGACACTTATGCATATAAGAATAAATTTTTCTTACTGTCACCTACATTTATTTTCTTATGTATATAAAATTAATATAATCTAATCTCTCCTTCAAATGTCAGGAAAAAGTGTGATTTAGCATGAGATTGCATAGTTGTGTTATTAAGAGGTAGTAAAATCTGGTTACTTACAATCTAGTCACATGAGGAAACCATCAGTTAATCACTAAAATAGAAAGTCTCTAAATATAATCCTGGTGTGTGGCAGGCCAGATAATATACCTTAGAGCTTAAAAGTTGAATGAATAAGGCCTATGTCACAGATAGGTAGACATTACAAAACATACCATTATTCCTAGTAAATATCATCACCATTTACTATTAAAATTTTTGTAATAGCTAATTTTAATTATTTATGATCATAAGAGCCTATATATAGTGCTTTGCAAATATTATCTAAGTAACTCCTTATAATAAGGAAATAATATCCTATGAGGATTTTATTTATAGGTGGGAAACTGAGGTCTAGAGGAGACTAGGGGAGAAGCAGAAAATTGATTTGACGCTAGGCAGACTCCAGGGCCCATGCTCTTAAGTACTACTTAAATGAAACTTCATCTCCACCGTCCAGGCTACCAGATGGCTGAAAATGATGGGAATTACTTTTTGGTGATGTGAGAAATGAGTCCCTAAGGGCTAGCAGTACTGCCTGCCGTCTGACTCCCTTCATTAGCGTTCAGGGCTGCCACATTAGAGCTCGCATTGGTAGGCTCAAGTGGAAAGTGAATTACTCACAAATTTCATCACAGAGGTTATGCACTGATTACAAATACTGGGGTTTATGGTTTGACTGTGATTTCCCTTTTTATATTCTTAGTTGCTTATGCTGTCCCTGAGAAGGTGTGTGTTGAGGGAAAGGAGAGGGTATGAGAGCCTGAAGGAGTTCAAGAATCTTACTTTTTCTGACTCTTCCTGCCCATTAGGAGCTCTATGTGGTGACAAATAAAACAGGAACATCTTCTGCTTGTAGAGACAGCTGCCTGACAAATACGAGTGTATAATCCCCACAGATCCCTGTTAGGAGACGTTGATGGTACTTGGCAGTTGACCAGATCAGAGTGTGTCAAAGAGGAAGTAGAAAGAGAACTATCATTATTTTAAGGCTTCTCTCAAAAGGACATCTTATATGATCTCTGGGTAGAAACCAGTGATTCCAAACAAACCCACTGACAGAAATAGAATGTAATTTCTATTTATAGATTATTTATTTCCCCTTTTATTTATTTGGGTTAAGGGTTGCTTTCTTATATACATACATTGCCTTGTAATATATACTTCCAGACTTTTACAATGTGAACCTGAGAAGTTATACCCATTTTATAGAAAATAATAGGAGGCACAAAGAGGAAAAATGGCTTATCAAGGGTGATCCCATCAAGAATTATAGATAGATTTACAACTCAGAGATGGACTTACAACTGTTTTGTTATTGTTTAATATTTGCAGCTTCTAATTCCCAACTGAATAAGCCAAGTTTCTGAACATCTCCAAAATGCTAAAATAAAATACAAATCTATGATGAAACAAGATTTAGTCATCCTAGGTACCTTCCTTAACAATATAAAACCTGTAACAGGAATCTATATAGTAATGATAAGAGCTCACATTAGTCAAGTTGTAGTTAATTCTGAATTGCAAGGGACACAGTAAAAAGAAAATAAAAATGCATTCTTATACTAAACAAAATAAGTGGAGTTGGGTGAGGGGAGGCTCTATATCCCTAGTATAAAAACATTCAAATTTATAAAACAGAAAAATCTGCAGTGGTTGATCTCTCGCACAGTTATTATCTGTGATACAGTTTACTCATATAATCCCTCTTCTACGAGAGGAATATGCACCAAGGACTTTAATTTACATGGAATGCAAAGTGAGTCACTTGCTCAATGGTACATAGACAAGTAGTCATATAATTGGGTATAAATTTTATAATAACTGGCTGCAGCCTATGTTTTGGCCACCAAACAACATTGTTTCTTCTAATTAAGGACAATATACTCTGGTCCTGGATCTCAGATACCAACAGATAACAAAAAGTGTTTTTTTGTTGAGTAGTTAGAAATCTAATCATGTTGCCATTGTATCACATTTTTCTCTGGCTCACTATCAACAGGTTTGACTCCATTATTTATCTTCCTACTTTATAGTACTTTATACAAACTTCTTCCCATCAATATTTATAAATAATGTAGTTCTTTTGCCCTAGGAAATATCCCTCTGCAAATCCCATGTTGCCCTTCTACTAACTTTCAACCTTTCTCTTTCTAAACTTATTGAAGGAATTGTACATTAACACATCTCATCTCCCATTCACACTTCAACCTTCAGTGCAACCTGGATTTCCTCATTTACCTCCAAGGAAACTGCTCTTGGGAAGCTCACCAATTTATTTGGAATCATGTTATTTCTACATCCAATGATCAATATTTGTTATTATCCTATTTTTCTCTGAGGTATATGACTTTGTTGACCATAACCTCTTTTTAAAATTATTTTCTTGTCTTAGTCTGTAGGTCACTGAATTCAACTGCTTTTGCACTTAGTCCTCTGACCAGCTTTCCCAGTTTAACTCTTGGGCTTATCTTGTGCTGTTCCTTAAATATTTGTATTCCTGAGGGCTTGATACTCTATTCTTTCTTTACGTCCTTCACTGTGAGTGATCTCATCCGATCTCTAGCTTCAGAACTATAACCCATGTTATTGATGACTCCCAAATCAGTATTTGCATCCAGTTTTTCTCATGACCTTTATACCTAGTTTTCTTTTTCTTTTTTAGATTTTATTTATTTATCTTTAGAGGGAAGGGAAGGAGAGAGGGAGAGAAATATCAATGTATGGTTGCCTCTCTTGAGTCCCCTGCTGGGAACTGGCCTGCAACCCAGGCATGTGCCCTGACTGGGAATCGAACCACAATCATGTGGTTCACAGGCCCATGCTCAATCCACTGAGCTACACCAGCCAGAGCTCCTAGTTTTCTATTTAAGTACTGTACATCTCCAACAAATGCCTCATAGATGCCCAAGATTCAGCATGCTCATCATCTTCCTTCTCACAGAACATTTGTCATCTTGTGTATACTACCTCATTAAATGGTGTCACCATGCAGTTTCCCAAGCTAAAAAAGGTTTATCTCCCTTGACAGTTTTCTCCCCTCCACTGCCCCATACAAAATGGATCCCTAAGTTCTGTGGCTAATGAATCTTTAGGTTGACTCATTACTCTCAATTTCTATTTCCACTATCCTTTTCCAGCCATTAACTTTTTCCCTTAAATTTCTGCAAGAGCATCACAACTAGTTTCTTTGCCTCTAGTTTCTTCTCTTTAAACTCATTGTCACTCATTTACCATACAGCAATCAGAATTTTTCAATAAATTGTAAATGTGGGTATAGTATCCACTGATTAATCTCATTGTCCTACAGATAAAAATCCCAATTTCTCAATATGGCTGAATAGGCCATTCATTATTAGTCCCTGGTTCTCTCTCTAACCTTACTTCCTAATCTTGTTGTGTTATATCATCCAGTCAGATGAAACAAATTCTGGTTCCTGGAATATACACGATCCTTGTTTTCTCTTAGGCAGTTAACATTTTTTTTTCTACATGGAATCTTTTTGTTTCAGTTCTGCATCTGTTTAGCCACTTTCCTTCTTCAGGCTTTATCTCATCAGCTTATTTTCTCACTTTTTCCTGGAGGACTGCCCTGTCATTCCCCACGCCCATCTCCATCCCCTTCTGACTCCATACTGGGTGAAGCACCCTCCTGTGTTCATAACACTGTGCCCCTGAATTGCATTGCCAGATTATTTACCTGTGCCTGTCACAAAACTGAAACAGGCAGACAGGAGGGCTTTTGTTTTTTGACCACTAAATCTTACAGAGCATGGTACTTGGAACATAGTACTCACAGAATGAAAAAAAGATATTGAATTTACTTCAACATTTTTTTCTGAGCTAAAGGAAGTCATTTCATTAAATTTTTGTCAGAAAGGAGAAAGCTTTTATTCTGAACCAATAGAACACTGCTTTTATCAGTATTTCTGTAGCTACCCCTCTAGTCCTATTTTACCATCAATTTTTTGACTCTTAATTAAAAGAATTGACCCTGGGGCAGAGAAATATTTGTATTTTAGGAACACAGGAAGCAAGAAAAACTTGGTGCCCAACTTCTTCAATTATAGATTTTTCGGGGTTTTAACTTTTTTCTCTGAGGACTCATATATAAACATTATTAGTTTAATAGTTTATTCATTTTTTTCTAGTTTCCTGTAGTAATTCATGGAGTTTACATTTACACCATCAATGGTAATACAACATTAAAGTAACAATTCAAAGGTTTTATTCTTTTAGTTTGTAAAATCTTTATATGGATTCTGGGAAGTAAAAAGTGTTGTTGTCATTACTGTCAATTTTACAGATGTGTGCACAGGGAGCAAAATGAGTAAAACTTACATAGCTAGAAAATTACAAAGCCAGGACTAAAACTGAAGATTTATAGATTTCCCAAACTTAATTCTTCCTCTAGATCAAATTCACTGTTGCAAAAGTGGTTACTAATAGTATTTTTGTCATATTTTAATTCTCAATAATAAGGATGACTACTTAGGGAATAGTATTAATGTAATAATCTTATCTGTACCAGCA